ATCCACGTATGAGTGGATTAAAAATCTGTGGTAGATCTACACAATGGAATACTATGCTGCTGTATAAAAGAAGGAATTCTTACCATTTGCAACAGCATGGATGGACCTGGAGAGCATTATGCTAAGCGAAATAAGCCCGTGGGAAAAAGATAAATATCATATGATCTCACTCATTTGTGGAATATAACTAACAACTTAAACTGATGAACAAAAATAGAACCATAGACATAGAAGTATCAAACAGACCGTCAAACTTTAGAGGGAAGGCAGGGGAGGGTGGAGGTGGGGGGTAAGAGATCAACCAAAGAACTTGTATGCATGCATATGAGCATAACCAATGGACACAGACACTAGGGGGGTGAAGGCATATGCTAGGGGGTGGGGTGGCCAGGGGAAGGTCAATGGGGAAAAAAGGAGACACATGTAATACTATACTGTAATACTTTAAACAATAAAGAATTAAAAATAATAATCAATTAACAATATTTTTTTAGCTTCTCCATGCTCCCACAAATTTCTAGGATCTGGGATTTAAAGACAAAAGCTTAAGCGGCAACATTTCTACTTACAATACATTGAAATGAGTGGCAGAACAAGCACACTTCCAACCTGTTGAACCTGTGAGTACAGAGCACCCGTAAGCATTTGATCCTTCGACTGCTCTTGGGAATTCCGCGAAGTGACGCGAAGCCCGCCCCCCCCCCCCCCCCCCCCCCCGCACACAGGGGAGCAGCTTTCACAGTCGACCCCTTCATTCCACAGGGCTTTGAGCACCTCGTTCACACGTTTATAAGCAAAGCAAGAGATTATACAACCTTTAAGAGCGTTTAACCTCAAGGCATTATTTTATGTCTCCAGAGAACCTTTTAAATAGCTTAACATATTTTACTTAATATTTTAAAATACTCCCTCTGCCTTTTCTGTGCATTTTTTTGAGTTTGTTTTTATTGAGTAAAGGAAGCACTATAAACTTAAAATAAGCAACATTCGCTAAGTATTATGCATCAATCTTGAAGCATTCTTTTCTAAATTTTTCATTCCAGTCTGTCTTTTTGTTCTTTACCTGGTTATCTAGCCTGCTAGCAAGACATTTCCCTTCCTTTCCTGCTGGGCCCCTGCATACAGACAACATACAGGGTTGGGCAAAGGGAGGTTTCTAGTTGCTTGTATGAGAAGTAATACAGTAAGCAATAAGTAATAAACAAGAATAAACTGTTTCACATACAGCTGTAAACCTATTTTTGCTGACCTATGTGTCGTTATGAAGCTTATGTTATGAAGTCTTATATCTCTAATATGATGTCTATTTTATATTCGTTCTTTCCCTTGATATTAAATAGACTGCAAATCTTTATAACCATAGGAAGGTGAAAACTGGAAAAAAAAAAGTTTTTTACTTTGCATTTTATATGGTGTCCCATAAAGACATTGTTCTAACTACCTGTGTTATAATGACTAGGAAGGATTCTTTAAAATCACAAGATGATATTTCAATTTCTTTAAAATAACAAATTAATTATGTAGTGTTAAAAAATAGAACTCCCTTATTTAACTTTTACAATTTAATGTTGTTCAGTCCCAATTTAGACCTAGCACCCGAATTCTCCACTCTGATTTGAGAAAGAGGCATAAACTAAAAGTTTTACTTCTATGAAGTCTTGTTTTGGGTAAGCAGGAATTTTCTCACATTGGTTAGATGAAGTCTAATCAAAAGTGAATGTCACCATGTATATTTTTATTCCTTTAGATAGTATGTTACTTAACGGTAGGGACGATGTCTTGTTTTTTGTTTTGTTTTTGTTTTTGCTCACCATTATATATACATATTTTAGCATGCAGAAAACTCTAAGAGAAAGATAATATTACATGAGCAATAGTGCAAGTTATATGAACCTCTCTCTATAAAATAATGACAAAATCTTCTGAGTATGTACATATGTCTATGTGCCTGTGTGTTTAAGTAGAGAGGAAAATAAGGAATGACACAGGAGTTTGTCACTGAGAGTGCACCTGTCAGGGGAAAGGAGAAAAAAAAGAAAGCACCGAAAATATGTAAAACTCACATCACAAATCATGATTATGGTGGAAAGTTATCTTAGAATCATGTAAATAATGCATCACTGAAGAACTATCTCAAATGAAGAAACTAAAAGGAAATCAAAAGCATAAGATATATTAATTAATATGGTATTTGCATTTTAGAAGAAAAACAGCTAATAGGTAAAAATAATATGGTTTCACACAGTGATGAGTCCTCTGAAAATGTTAGGATTTGGGTAATAGATAGGGAAGATAATCTTGAGGTCAGGAAAGCTATCAGGCCACGGGGAGTATTGAAAGCCACAGGCTCCATGTGATTATCTGGAGCAGCCGTGGGCAAACTACGGCCCGCGGGCCGGATCCGGCCCGTTTGAAAGGAATAAAACTAAAAAAAAAAAGACCGTAGCCTTTTATGTAATGATGTTTACTTTGAATTTATATTAGTTCACACAAACACTCCATCCATGCTTTTGTTCCGGCCCTCCGGTCCAGTTTAAGAACCCACTGTGGCCCTCGAGTCAAACAGTTTGCCCACCCCTGGTCTGGAGAGCGGTGTGCGGGAGAGAGAGGAGCTGGGCCCTAGAGCACTCCAGCATTCCGAGATTAGGATGTGGGAAGGAACGCACAGAGGGGAGCGAGGGAGAGGCCCACCAGGAAACGAAGGGTGTGTTTTCCTTTAAAGTCAGTGTTGAAGATGAGGAATAGGTCTGACCAATGAATCAGGCAACACGAAGACTGTTGGTGATATTCACAAAAGCAAGTAAAGCAGAGGGGCGAGGATGAGTCTACCTGAGATGAGCCCCCCGCCAACCCCCCACCCCCCAAAAAAAAAGTAGAGGCGAGGAAGCGGAGATGCTGAGGCCGCTCTTCAATGCGTTTCACTGTGAAATGTGTTATAGGGGAGGTGCCGAGAAATGCAATGAATGGAAGGACAAAATGGGATCCGCAGGGCTTTCTAAAGAGGATGTTCATTATACCATGTTTATATGATCATGGAAAACCTGTGACGCAGGAGAAAGAAGAGATGATTTCAAGAGAAAACTCAATGAGGAGTACGAGGAAAAGTCATTTAAACTATAAGGAAAGGCTTAGCTTAGGTTGGAGAAGAAACAATTAGATATTGTTTATCCCTGAGGCACACATCCATATATGATGAGAAAAGGCGCTCTCCGCAGAGCACGTAATACTGGAAGGTATTCCTCTGCGTTTTATTAAAATCAGTGTAGGTTTAAATCGCACCCGCTGTCCCTAGCCAAAGATCCACATCTGGCAGTTCCAATCGAGAAAACCATGAATTTACACCATGACATTTTCTTGTTATTTAAATTCTCCAAAGTTATAGACTAAACAAGATAATAGTATAAACACATAAAATACATGAACAAGTATTAATAGCAAGAAATACATATATATTTTTCAGTTATTCTATTATCCCAGTGAAATGTAATTTCCATTCAAAATCCAACCCTGAACAAGTCTACATATATTAGAAGAAAAGAGACAGTTCATATCTAAGTCAGAACTTCATTCTTATAAAATTCCCATACAGATGTGTCCTTCCTACTACTCTAGCTATTCTACTCTGTGGCGAATAAGATGCAATTTTAAAAGCACTGATCAATGCACTCCTAACTTATGCCAACAAACATCAGCATCTTTTAAACTCATCTGTAGTGGGAAAAAGAAACTCCCTGCCTATTGTTGGATGTTTTACATGCTTAAAACTAGAGCTTTCTTAAACCTTGACAATACAAGCACAACGCTAATAGCAGCTAGAAATTCAGCAACACATATTTTGCAACCAGTGTTTCTTTTCTTTTTTTTTTTTTTAAATTGATTTCAAAGAGGAAAGGAGAGGGCGAGGGAAATAGAAACATCAATGATGAGAATCACTGATCGGCTGCCTCCTGCACACCCCACACTGGGGATTGAGCCCGCAACCTTGGCATGCGCCCTGATTGGGAATCAAACTGTGACCTCCTGGTTCACAGGTCAATGCTCAACCACTGAGCCACACTGGTCTGGTGCAAGGAAATATTTTTATTTCCCATCTACAGATGTATGCACAAAATTATACGGTCACAGAAAATTCATGTAAACTCATTAAAAGAATAAAAAACCGATGTTGAGTAAAATTGGCCAGTTTCCTTCTATTTATAACTCTTAATTTTAATCCATAATTACCCAAGTAATACATTTACTTACATGTATAACTTCAAACTTACAAAGACAAAAATCTACAAAGATAGTTTTTAAAGATCTCTGAAAATATTAGACCTTAAGTGTCTTAACTACCAAGTCTACTTTCTCTGCATATCCAGCTTTCTTTCTGTCAAGAACAATGGGGTGATTCAGGAATCTTCAATGGGCCAAGGAAAGTAAGGGATCACCATGGGGAAGGGGGTCCATGGGGGAAAGGTGGGACATCTGTAATGCTTTCAACAATCACGATAATTTTTCTTAAAAAGACATCATGATTTTTCTTCCCTGTACTGAGTAAAGGAGCTCAATTTCCCAGCAAAAATCATCTTACCCAGCAAAATCACTCCAGTAAAATCATCTTTTTGTGTCAACCGTTCTTAGTTACCACCTTGTCTTTAGTGAAATGAAAAACCCAAATTACCCATATGATCATATTTAAACTCTTAATTTAGTCAGAGGAATGATGGCCCGAGAAACCACAGCTAGAAACCCAGAGTAGTTCAGGGAGCAGGACATGGGCAAGCTTGGACTTTTACAACTAACATCTGTTTTGAAATCAGTCTAACTCCCCAGTTTTGAGGAAGGTACTTGAACCCCAAAATAATAAACTGGATAATACAACCTGAGGACACAAAAAAGCCCCCTCAGGAACAGATAACGAGTTGACACAAGAGTAAGAGGCAGATGCTTTAATACATTCTGACTCTGCTGTTGTTGCTTTTTGCGTGGGTATGTGTTGTTCAATTGAAAGGGCTTACCATCTTGCTGGCCTTGAAGAGCCTGGGGACTCTGCACTCTTTCCTCCAGGTTGGAGCTGAGGTCAGAGTTCACAGCCGACATCCGCGTGGAATCGCTCATATCAAATTCGTCACTTTCTATTGAGCTCTCATCCTGCAAATTATTTTAAAACATCATCAGCAAGATTACAACATTATACATTTACCTAGTGACCATTTTATCAGTAGGGTCAATTACAGTTTAGTCAGTACTTTTACAGAACTCAGTGAAATATGTTACACATTAATAGATACTCGAAATAACAAATAATGGAATAATTTCTCCTGTTAAGGAATTGCAAGACTTGTGAAGATGCAAGCAATGTATCTATGTACGGGCAGATTTATAAGGTAAAATAATGTGTTTGGTCTGGCTGGTGTGGCTCAGTGGTTGAGCCTGAACCTATGAATCACGAGATCATCGTTCAATGCCCGGGTTGCGGCTTGATCCCCAGTGTGGGGCGTACAGGAGGCAGCCAATCAATGATTCTCTCTCATCATTGATGTTACTATCTCTCCCCTCCTCCTTTCCTCTCTGAAATGAATAAAAATATATTTTAAAAACAAGGAAATAAAATTATATGTTTAGGGAGGATAGAGTTGGGGATTTATTCTGAATTACAAAAGAATGGATTTTTTGTAAATTAGCATAAAACTTCCTAAAGACTCAATCACAAAACATAGCATAAAGAGAAATATGTTTTGATTTTAAAAATGAATGACCTAATAAAATATTATAAAGCAAAAATCTTAGATTGCAATTAAAATAAAAAACCAAAATACCTTAACCAAAACTACTCATTGGCAAACAGGAAGTGGACTCTAGTAATAGACAAACTTGCATGCCAGGTTCCAAGGCCACGTTGCGGGGAGGAAGACAGCCTAGCACATCAGCCCCTTCCTTACAAGGGACTATACATGGCACTGCAACCACAAAGCGGGGTCTAGGTGAAGTGTGAAAGATGCACATACCAAATGCCAGTACACCAAATGGCTCAACTAGCCAAAGGCTAGTTTGCCAAATGGCCAATTCATCAAAACCTGTCCAATATTAAACAACCTCTAAAATAGTTCACAGTAGACGTTGCACTAAAGGAAACCCCTTTTGGAGAATTGGCTTTTGGACAAATGGTGTGCTTATGTAGACAGGAAGGCCTGGGAAACCTGTGTAAAATATAGTAAATATTTCATTGAAATCACTAGGTTTGACTCTCAATTGTAAATGTCTGATGTGAAAGTTTCACATTACTATAATAATTAATAGTAGCAGTGCTGCTCTGTATGTTGCAAACACCAGTCTTTATATTTGTTCACTCACTTCATCTTCATCACAACTATGAGTTGGGCACCAAGATTCATCCAATTTTACAGATTGAGAAATTGAGGAACAGAGCAGGCAAAATGTTGCCAATTTATTTACTGTTTATCTCCTTCATCTACAAGAGTATCAGTTACATAGAAGGTACTCAATAAATATTGAGTTTATCATAATTGAAATACAACTGATCAGAAAAGACCATCTCACATGAATGTCATTTTAACATGACTTAACTTCCTTAATGACCTTTCTATCTTTCAATAGTTACAACTGCTAAAATTTTTAAATAATCTCATCATTTATCTGCATATTTTTTAAGACAATGTACATCTAATTTGGCACTTCAAAATTTAAGGATAAGAATTTTTTTCCTCATCTAGTTATAAATTTGAAAGAATCCAATTCCTTTGTGTGAAATACTTATGATTTTTTAGAAGCCAGAAGGGATCAGCATAGGTGAGGTTTATTGTTGGCACAAAGTTGATCTTATTTAATGGCCTAGAAATAAACATGTCAACATCTAAATGAGCTTTCCACAAGCACTTGGACAGCTCTAACTAGTTAATGAGATTGAAAATATTTTTTCAATTATGTGATGAATCATGGGAATCATTTTTCCAATCTCAGGATGGGTTGGCATTGATATTTTATTAATTGTTGCTCATGACTTTAACCCAATAATTTTATTATAATTTTATTTAATCATTTACATAGAGCCATCTGGTAATATGGAATCTGACACTACTATTGCAGTTAATCCAGATATTCTTATAGAGTGTACCTGTGTAGTCTTTGAGATAAAACAATTTTATAAACATAGTTTTGAAATTAAATCTGCTCAGATAAAGAAAACCAAAAATTTAATTTGAATTTTATAAAGTTAGTTCAACAAAGTAATTTTAAAAGAATGTAATAATACTTCACCAAATAATGCTATATTTGAAGAATAAATATTTAATCGCATTCCTGTTACAGTGAAATTTCAAAGAAGGAGAATGTATTAGCCTGAGAAATTATTTCGAATATAGATAATCTAAATATGTTTATCTGTTAATGGTTGCTAACTAGTTAATAAGGACTTACTAGGCCCATACTATATGTCTTTTAGGAAATATACACAGGGTATATATACAACTTGGTCCCTGCCTTTGAGATACTTCAACTAAACTGGGGAGTTAATTAGCATTCTAGAGAGTATGCAACAAGTGCACATTTTGTGTCTAGTACATGCCAACAAGAACATTGCAAGATTGTTACTATACAAATTAAGTAGAATAATTTGAAACATCGAAACACCTCTAAGAAGAAGAATCACTACAAATTGTCTCTAGAAAATGCATAGAAGACAAATACATAGAATGGTCAGGTGAGATGTAACTTTAAAATATATGCAAGATTTGCCCTAGTCGTCTTGCTCAGTGGATAGAGCGTCAGCCTGTGGACTGAAGGGTCCCAGGTTCGATTCTGGTCAAGGGCACATGCCTGGGTTGCAGGCTTGTTCCCCAGTAGGGGGTGTGCAGGAGGCAGCCAATCAATGATTCTCTCTCATCATTAATGTTTCTCTCTCTCTCTCCTTCTCCCTTCCTCTCTGAAATCAATAAAGAAATATATTTTAAAAAATTAAAAAATAAATAAAATATATGCAAGATTTGGATGGTAGAGAAATAACTATATTTGAAATAGCTATTAAGTTAACTTTTCTGATTTCCAGACAAAGTAGCCTTAGTGCTAAAGGCTTGGACACTCATTCATTTGGGATACTTCCCCTGAAGTTTCTAGCACTTTACCACGGCGAGCTCCATGGAGCTCATTAAGGAAAATGAACCTTCTTGGGAACGCACAAATTCCCACCTGGCACTAAGACAGGTTTGTTAAAACAGGGAATCTCCATGGTCTTCGTCCGTGCAATCCTGGTGACCTGCCTTTCATTAAGAAATAAACTACCACCTTCGACCTGCCAGGGCGCTCAGTAAGACAGTCATGGTTATCCAATGCCATCCCGACGTGTGATCACAGACAGGGGTTTCCGCGTTACCTCGTCTTGCTGGGAGCTGAGCAGCTGCAGTTTCATGTGCTTCATGTAGGCCATGGTGATCGGCATGTTGTAGTCAATCATGCTGGTCACCAAAGTGGGGGGCTTCCCATTATCTGCAAGGAAACACAGTGAATGGTAACGAACGGGCCCTGCATTCCACCTGCACTTTCAGAACGACTCCACTTGCTCACCTGGAAATAAGACCCCAGAGAGCAAGTGTTTCGGAGACTGCAAGCGTCAGAGGGGATTGTAAAATACATGGAACTGGAGTCTCTTGAAAGGTGTCGTGCGACAAATTCGCACTCTAGGTAAACTAGTTATTTCTAACTTCGGGGGGCTTTTGCTACCCTGGGTAACACTGAGTGAAGGCAGTCTAGTAATTAAGCACAATTACTTGGACGTCTGCATTTCTCTCTTTTGCTGTAAACTTACTTTATCTATGTACTCGCTCTTTTGGGGTTTTTTTTGCCAGTCTACTTATTCATCCTCGAATAACCTAGCCTAAATGTATATTGGAGATTAATTTCATCTGAGAATTGTATAGATTAGGAAATAAGCCTCGCTAGGTCTTAAGGAAAGCTGAAGCCTGGTTACAATTTGTTTGTAAGAATTTCCAGCGAAGGGGCTCCTTACTACTCATCACTTAGAAACAAGGAGCTGGCAGGCTTAAAAGGAACGTCCCTTTCCTTTTTGAATATGTCTGAACTGCCACCAAATACACACCGTACGTCAATGGTAAAGCATTATTTTAGAAAAAATTGTTTTTCACAGTCAACGCTGTCTTTATCCTGAAAGCGGGCACTGAACTGCCCTGTAGGTCGATGCTCAAAGCTCCCTGCGTCCCCCTGGACTAGATGAGATGAGGTACTTGTCCAACTGCTTCAGTCCACCACGTTCCCATTAGAACGCGAGGGGCAGATGGCCACGGTGAATAAAACCCCTTTCACGCTCCCTATCTGGCCCCGCGCTACCTTTGTGATCGGCTCCGTCGGGGTTTAAGTGCATTCTTTTCTGGCACTCGGAGCAGCTCATGAGGAACCGCGTCACCGCCTCTCTGGGCAGGAAGGCATAGCTCTCTGAAATCTGCAAGGGTACACAAAAGAGGAGTGTGAGCACACAGGCCGACCCGGCGCGACTCGACAGAGACGATCACTGTATTCCCAAATAAGACGCATTATTCCATAGCGGCAGGGAGCACAATGGAAGCATGCACTGCGTACCATGCATCATTTCCAGAAATATCTATCCGGCTCGGTTGTGTGTCTCGTAATCATAGTTAATAACGTGACGTGGAGGGAAAAACCACCACATCGGAATGGATATCTGAACAATCACAGTGTACAGATATTCTTGTGACTTTTCCTTATTAGAAATTGCCAACACTGTTTTTAAAAGTTACAGCTAGCATCAGCAAAACTTTATCCAATTGTACATATATATTTGAAAATTTTGCCCCAAGTAGAAACAATAAACTTTGAATTGTGCATTAATTAGCATTTCTTCATTATTGCTTTTCATAATATTGTCAGTGAAAATAAAGAGAATGCTCACCGTCCCCATGTATACATTCACGGCAGTGAATCATCCCATCCACAGAAAATGACACACTTGGAGAAGCATCTGGCCACCTATTGTGTTACTGTATCTGTTTTTATCATGTTTGTCCCCAATAGCTCCCAGCGCCAGAGCAAGCTTTCCCTCCGCCCTGCACAGAGCTCCTGTTGCCAGATCTATGATCTAGAGCCAAGTTGGACATCAATTCTCCTGTCATTATGTTTTTAAATATTAACTTTCCAAAAACCAACCTAGTTCTCTCATCAAAGCAAAGAATTTCTGAAGTGAAACGGATAGACTGTTCAATATTCGCAAACAAAAGTTAATGCTGACTCGATGCTACTAAAAAGTCAGATACAAGGCACTAGTTTTCCGCCATGGCACTAGCACTGGTGCATGAGGTATGAGATAACCAGACAACAAGTAAATAAGATGCAAATTAGGCGCAAATGCCACAGACAATGTGTCAGTTGCATAATGACTGTTGTGAACACTAATATATTTTAAGTTTGTAGAAAGGAAAAAAAAATGCACCTCATGTATCATTGAATACAATTCCATTAATGGTGACGAGGTTAATTTCTGCTTCTCCACGCTGCAGAAGCTCAGCACTGGGAGACCCTGCATGTTCAGATCTAGAATTGTACGCCATATTTTCCCTGAACTTAATATTAAAACTAGCTTACGTCACTTAGCCTGTCCCTTGGACTCTCAGGGAAAGAAGCCATGAGCACGACAGAGAGATAGGGATGAGTCTATAATTAGAATCTACCAGGGATGATCTGTATACAGGTAATTACATTTCACTTTACTAGGATCGGAAGTATGAAACTCTGATTTGTAATATGATTATCATTTGTAAATTAAGAGGTCCAGCTTTAAAAAAAAAGTCTTCGTATTATACAAGACAATGTGGAAGAAAAGGCAGAAAAATTTGGAAGTATTTCATCAAACTATTTCATGTCAGCTATCCTAATATATAAAAAGCCAGGGGCCATCAGGACCAAAACAACCAGACAGACGACCGAATGCTGCGTGGGGCGACCAGGCCGGCAGGGGGTTAGTGAGGGACGACCAAATGACTGAACAGCAGGCTGTGTGGGGTGACCAGGCCAGCGGGGGGGGGGGGGGGGGCATTTAGGGGCAACCAGGCAGGCAGAAGGGGGTACTGAGGGGTGACCAGGACGGCAAGAGGGGCAGTAAGGGGTGACCAGGCAGGCAGGGGGGACAGTTGGGGGCAACCAGGCTGGCAGAGGGGGCAGTTAGGTGTGATCAGGCTGGGAGGCAGAGGTGGTTAGGGGTGTTCAGACTGGCGGGGGGGGGGGGGCAGTTAGGGACGATCAGGCAGGCAGGCAGGCAGGTGAGCAGTTAGGAGCCAGCGGTCTCAGATTGTGAGAGGGATGTCTGACTGCTGAATCTCTACACACATGTATGCACACACACACGAATTTGATTCCTATTCATTTACTATGCAGAAAGAACTAACACCTTTGTCTGACTTATTTTATCTGACCAGAGGTCATTTTTTCTGTCTCTCTGGATGTCTATATTACCATAGTGCTAAGTAAAAACAAAATTTATGATGCATTCCCAGTCCTTATCCTTTATTTTTTTAACTTACATGGAAATAATGGGCTGACCAATCAATTCATTAACAAATAAGGTTTGAGAAGAAGGCTCCTTTCGTTTTCATAGAGGATTTCTATTGAACCTTTCCTCTCCTTACATAAAAGAGAAATCTTCCACGGAAGGAAGACAGGACAGCGATGGGGTTGGAGAGACGCCCCATTGGCCCCCGTGGTCCTGCTGCGGGCCCCACTGTCTGCCCCATCTGTTTCCACTGCTGATAAAGCACTTGTATAGGAACCCCCTCAGGACACATTTGTGATGGACCCTGTCTTGGGACCATTATTCATCACATTGCATGTCCCTTAGAGTTCTACTCTGAGAAACAAGTACCTGTAATGGTTACAAATATGTTTGTGTTCGTGTGCACCTGTGTGCATGAACTAACATAAGGTCCCACTTTGCATCTTAGATGCTCAGCAAGTATCCCACCACATTGCTCTCTGCGGTGGTATTCTGCATAGTGTTTGGCATGCTACCCGTTAGATATGTGGGTGAGGGCTCTTAGGTGAGTGTGGTTTCCTTGGTGTTCAATCCATTTAATGGGGAGACCTGCCTCTGCTTCTCGCTCTCCTCAGGTCTTTTCTCCCCCACCTCACGCTCGCTGGGCCCACCCACCACCACAACTTCTTCGGTACCCGGAGGAGAAGCCCCCCAAACAGACGCTCCTCATCTCCCACTGAATCTGAAACAATATTTCTCCTGCCCTGGAGGTGAAGAGGGAAAATGGTTCCTTTTCCTTCATCTATAGTTTTTCCTCCCAGATCTCTCTGAAATTGAGTCCTAGGCACCCTTCATTGCTGGCATCTTAGAACATTCCTCAAAATAAAAGTAAAAAAGCTTTAAAAATTCTTAAATGACAGTCATTAGAATAACTGCATTTCAGGATTAAAGCCACGGGATGAAACCATGTCCTTTGATCGTGTCCGCATCCCTTGGTGACCTCCTTCAGAGAGAATGCTGAAAGCTTCCATGAGGAGCCTCGTTTGAATGTATAGCCGGAGCTAAACGCTCCTCTGGGCTTGGCTCTAAACAAAGGCCCAGTTTCCACAAATGTTCGAGATGCTAAACAGATGCTCATAAACGGTGATAAGACGCCAGGACGTGTTCTTCCGGGTTGTCCATTCATCAAAGCCCTAACATCCCTCGTGCGATAGGAAAAAGCAGCTGCAGGTAAGGCCTAGCAGTAAGGGGCAGGAATGGGAAAATATTTTGATTCAGATACTTGAGATACCACCTACCAAGGCCTTGATTAATCACATCAAACGCTTTAATCGTTCATAAATGTCTCTTGCCTTGACCCACTTTTCAAATTGAATCACATCTCTGTTTCTGGGATAGAAAGTGGACTTTGAATACACAACACAGACATTCATGAGAACATGGGCGAGGAGAACACTTCACTTGAAAATGCATTCTTAGAAAATACCTCTGTATCTGGGGACGAGGGAGAGCACTTCCCTAGAATTTGTTCGTGAACACAGAAGCCATGAATGCATCATGTTAATAACAGGAAGCAAAAGATAACATGAATTGAGATTAGTCTTGCTCCCTCTGAGCTAAGCTCTAGCAAGGCACCTGCCATGTGACCAGCCACATATATTGCTCCTAACAGAACTAAACACACACAGGAAGGGCTAGAACATGGCCACAATGACAGACACACTCATGACCTAAGCATTATTCGTCAGGGAATTTCCTCATTAGAAATGTTATTTTCTACAAATCTAGCCTTGTTTCTTACAGATATATATACTTTTCACTGGGTTTTTGCACCCCTTGTTTTAAATAGTGGCTAAAACAGATTTTATGGTAATGTTTTGAAAAATAGATTGACTGATAAAGAGACGAAATGAATTGCCATTGTTAGACAGTAGAGGGCAAAGCAAAGAGCTATAGAACTCAACCCTGATCTCCCAAATCCTGCTTCGTTTCTATACATGGAATGGACCGTGGTGGGCTTATCCAGCAGACAGAGCAAACAAATGCTCAAGGTCCACGGGAAGCAGGAGCATTGAAATCGATATTTAAAAACTTTATATTTAAAAACCCCAGAGAATCAAAATATTATCATAGGACAAAGTTAGCACTTGAGAAACTTTCTTAAACTTGAGTTATGGCTGAAGACGAGTTGTTGCTCTTTAACTTTGAATGAGCTACAGTGAGGGGTGGGGCGCACTGGCACTGCATGGCTTGATCGTTACCCACCACTTCTAAGGTCCCTAATTAATCTGTGTGGTGAACACTGCCATCGTTTTCAGTGAAAATATTAAATTCTTGATCCATTAGGGCTGGAATACATCAGTAATGCAAAAATACTAAATCCCATATAACATAATTACAAGTAGAAATGATCTCTCCCATCAAAAAATACGGTAATACGTCTACATAAAAACATTGCACTAGAGCAGTGGTTCTCAACCTTCCTAATGCCGCGACCCTTTAATACAGTTCCTCATGTGGTGGTGACCCCCAACCATAAAATTATTTTCGTGGCTACTTCATCACTGTCATTTTGCTACTGTTATGAATCGTCATGTAAATATCTGATATGCAGGATGTATTTTCATTGTTAGAAATTGAACATAATTAAAGCACAGTGATGAATCACAAAAACAATATGTAATTATATATGTGTTTTCCGATGGTCTTAGGCGACCCCTGTGGAAGGGTCGTTCGACTCCCAAAGGGGTCGCGACCCACAGGTTGAGAACCGCTGCACTAGAGCATCTTTTGATGGACTAGCCAGGGGTGGGCACACTTTTTGACTCGAGGGCCACAATGGGTTCTTACACTGGACCGGAGGCCGGAACAAAAGCATGGATGGAGTGTTTGTGTGAACTAATATAAATTCAAAGTAAACATCATTCCATAAAAGGGTGCGGCCTTTTTTTTTTTTTTAG